GGGACCAAGCAAGAGCAACTACCCAGCCAGAGCAACCCATTGGCAGAAACTGCCTGGGACAGGTACTGGATGTGTATCTCACAGTTAATAGCACTGCTACTTTGAGAGCGGCATTAGCCAAGAGTGACTGCTGCCTCCTGAATCTGGGGGGGCACCCGCAGAAGCCACTGATGGCCACAGCCTTGTCAGGCGGGGCACCAGCCCTACCGACAGTATCAGTTGTTGGCCGTCAGGGGGACACATGCACTCCTGTGCACCACCTACCAGTCGCCTCTGGCATTAGCCATATCTAGACCTAGAGCGGAGCAGAGCTTGGAGACAGTTTTCAGCCCCAAGTCCTTGCCCTAGGCAAACTGCAGGGACTGGTCAACCACTGTGTGAATGGAACCTGGGTAGTCCAAAAAGAATCCACGGTGAAAATATGCCACTACAAGGCATATAACTCAGAAAATTTGGTAGAGATCTGCAGAGAAACCTTGAGGGGTTTGACACAAATTTAGCCTTAAAATTAATGGGCTATATTGTCTACATCCCTTAGACTCAGCTCTTGGTTCTTTGTTCCCTACTGTAACCTACAGTACCTAAATTTAGCTGTTCAGAGCCAAAAATACATACAATTTGAGATAAAATAAATATCTCAACATCCCCATTTGATCATCTTTACTTAGTTCAAATTACTCTTAAATAATAATTTATACAACTCTTTCCATTAATGATCAGTTAGGCAGTGCACAGGCAGCATAACCTCTTGTTAGGATTTGATTTTATAAGTAAAGCAAATTAGGAACTCTAAATAATCAGTGTTATTGAAACTGCTCTGTAGTAACTGTATAGGTTAGTCATAATCATTTTACATATCAGCTTTTCAGTGTTTCCACTCCAAATCACCAAAATAGTTAGTTGCTTGTACTTGCTTTCAGTGGCCAAATCCACTGCTTCAGAACAAACAAATATATGCAATATCGTACTCATTTTTCTGCTTCCTGTTTTGTTTGCCCTTTTTATAAGTATTAAGCACAACTTGCTACCCTTGTTATCCTTTTACCCTATTTCCCTGTCTTTGGGGTATGAGTTGGTGGTCATCTGCTACCGTGCTCCTCAAGTTCTCAGTAAAGCAAATGTATATGTAAAGAGTAAGCAAACATACCTTGTGAGGAATACGTTGTATGTACCCAGAGAGTTTTCAAGATGTCCTTCCAAATGACACTTCTACTTGTTCCTGGGGTGTAAATCTGAATTTTTGTTATACAATCAGATTCAAATATGGGGTATTTGCAAACTACCTCTCAATTCTTGTTTTATTCCCATGAGCACCAAAAACCATTTTCTGCCTTGTAGCTCCTATTAACTATTATGCAGCCGTTATTTTACTATGTACAAACCAATCATGATAGATTTTATATTTAGTCTAAGTATGAATACATGTATTATATAGCTAAGCTTTCTAGGTTTTTGTTCATATAATAGGCCAAAAAGTATACAAAAATGAACAAACAAATCCAGATACAGTAGCTAAAAACTCAGGTAAAAGTTTTTTACCTAATTGAACAGCAGAGGCACCCTATGCCTGAAGAAGGGTGACTGTGTCCGAAAGCTTGCTAAGAACTTTTTTCCAACTACTCAGTTGGTCTAATGAAACATATTGCATCTACTCAAAGAACCTTGCCTGCCTCTGTCCTTAGACCAACACGGCTACAACCAAAAACCCAGGTAGAATTTTTTACACCCATATTTTTGCCTTTTTTACTAGCAGGATTTCTTATGGATATCTAAACTCTTATCTTATTTCACTGAAATTGTAAAGGCTTCAATCCAGCAAACATTCATGGGACTGCTTCTCATTATGCTATTTATATCTATTTTAAAAATTCTTTATACTCATGTTCAGGGTTTTAGTATAAATGAGAATCAGTCCTTATTTTTTGGCACACGAGTAGACTAGTGAGGTCACATAAATAAAGTTTAGCACGTGCATCGAGTGTTGTAGGATTGGAGCCAAAAGAATAAAATAATTTTTTAAAAATAAAACATGCTTTTTATTATTTTCTCCCACTCAGCAAAACACTTAGCAGAGCCAGTCTCCGGCTACAACTGCAACATTGGCACAGTTCCCACAGTTGATACATCCTTCACTCCTCTCCAGAGAATTGGCAAGGAATTATGTTGTCATGAATCCATTAACACTGGTACCAGTCTGCCCATACCCAAAATTCTCTATGAGCAGAGATGCAAAGAGCCCTTACAGAGCAGAACTACTTAAGGCACAGAGATATATAATGTATTTTGCAGAAGCCCATAGTCTTACCCCGCTATTCCACTGGGCCATGTTAATGAGAACTAAAAGGGGAAGAAAATCCAGCTACTGGGGCAAAAGAAAAAGAAACTGCACTTCTTGAAATAAGCATTTCTATATGTCCCTGGTTGTTAATCATAATCCCAGCTGCCTAGACTTCCCAAGTTAAAAGCATGCCAGGCAGCTTAGTTGTGCCTATTTTTTCAATTGTTTATTTTACTAAACTGAGCTGTTTTGAGGATGGCAGGCACCCGTCTGAAAGAAACTGAGCTAAAGTTAGAAACAGAACATATGATGCTCAATAGTTGTGTTGTGACTAGGACCACTGCTGCAGCTGTTTCCTCTTTCATACGTGCCTTGGCCATGTTTGTGAGCATCAGATTCCACCTATGGAAAGGCTAGAGCAACAGGCAGGAAGAAAAAATTAAGGTCAGAAACCAGATTGTAGAAAGCTGCAGCATTCTGGGGACAACATGAAATGTTGTTTACTCTGCACTGGACACAGGAAAGCATATTCACCATGTGAGAAAAAGCTGTTTCAAATCATTTCCCAACAGCAGATATAATGGTTCAATTTGCTTGAGTCAGGGATTTGAACAAAACCAGTGGCCTGGAGATTCAAACAATACAGATAAATAGATAAGAGAATGAGCCTTCAACAAGTTTCATATGATTTCCATTCTCCTGATGCAAGGCTTTTGGAAATTTTTCCAGACAGAATTTTTTTTTTAAATATATTATAGACAGAAGAGAATTGCATGAATGAATTGCATTTAACTCGTTTTAATGTTTTAAATATGTTGAGCTCACTGCTTGCCTGAGATACTTAAATATATTTCTCAATTGTAAGGTATTTTAAACATATTATATTTTTATTATTAATTTTCATGGTAAAATTCACAGTTATTTTTGTATATAACCAATCAGTGTGTAATTAAGCATAACCATACACTTGTATTAACAAATTAATGCTTAATTTGCCTTGAAATTAAGGGGAAATGGAGAAAGAGAGGAAAAAAGAGGGAAATATTCCTATAATAAATGCATAGCACATGCTGGTCCTCTCACATAATGCACTCCTGAAAGTTACCCATATGCAGTGGTAATATAGGTCTGCAACCACCTGAATAGAACAGAATTTTATATACATATAGTTATATATATAACCAATGATAGACAATGGTTGATCCTGTGGATCATCGTGTACACATAAGAGGTCTAGTCAAAGTGACTGATGAATCCGCTTGTGGCTGACGAACCCAATTCGAGACTGACACAGCTTGTTACAAGTTTCACAGATCCATACTTTGTCTGAGTTAGAGTTCAAGTTTACAAAACACACTACTTTCTTCTTTTTTGTTCTGTTTCCATCCTATCAATCAAAGCCACTTCATGTTGAGCTACACCCAGTGCTAAATGTTCCCTCCAGATTGGACTGGATCCCAGCTTTTTACATTGATGTTGAATGACTTAGTATCATTTTTATACGCATCGTGGTACCACCATAAAGGGCAACCCCGCTTTCTAGAGCCGCCTTGAATCTTGCTGTACAAAATATTCTTGGGGATTTGGTCTCCTCCCATTCCCCTGCCATGGCCGAGCCATCACAACCTCCTCCTCTTGATAGTGTTTCCAAGTGTATCAGTCCTGTGCGCTCCTGCACCTCTGTGTTTGGTATTTTGTCTTCCCACTTTATTTTCAGGATCTTATGCTGGCATTTCATGTGGAAGCTGTTCAATTTTTTGATGTTCCTAGCATACATAGTCCCTGTTTCTCTACCATAAAGCAAGGGCGACAGCACACAAGCCTCATAGATTTGCATCTTCACCTTAGTCGATAATTTGCTATTTTTCCATACACATTTCTGTAATAGCCCAAAATTCTTAGCTGCTTTTCTGATTCTGTTATTCCGTTCAGTCTGAAGGTCAAGATTCCTGCTCATAATAGAACCCAACTAATATGTAATTAGTTAACACCAACCCACAGCAACTCCTGTGCCAATTTCACAGAGAACCGCCTCTCTTCCAACACAAGGATAAATTTCCCAATAAGTAAGTGCAAAGCCCACAGGAGTCAGTAGTTGTCATTTGTTTTCTAGGGAGTCAGTGCTAGAGCCAGAAATAAAATCTGTCTCCTGACTCTCACTCGTGGGCTTCAGCCATATGACTGTCCTTCCTCTCCTCAGTTCTTTTGAGAAGTTCAATCTGAGTTGGGAAACTAGATGTTTTGCTTTTCTAACGTTAGACAAAATTGTCTCCCCCTCCTCTGTACCCTGTGAAGTATAAACTTGCATGATAGAAGGCAAGAAGTTATTTTTTAAACAACTTCAGGTGGAAGAAATAAAGATCCAGAGAAACCTGAATATATTCAAGCTTCCTTTATAGCATTTCCCTCTGGATAGTGCTGGACTCAGAGTGAACAGGAAACGAATGGTTATTGTAACTGAGCTATGCTCAGTGTAAACACCCTTCATGCTACATACAAATGTTCCTTGCTTCATTGAATGCTGCCCTCCCTAAAACTCAGCAACTGTCTTGAAGAGGGAGGGGGGAGGGTAGGGTGAAAGGATGGTGCATAGACCATTTTGTTGTATTAACAACTTGACTGTCTTATGTGTGGTTGAATTTTATGCCATAAATCACTACAAAAGATTCAGTATAAATCTGATGAAAAATAGGGACCTTAATTTATTTTGTATTTCTAAAAGGTCAAATGCTGCAAATACTGGCCAGATGACACAGAGATATATAAAGATATTAAAGTTACTCTAATAGAAACAGAGCTCCTGGCTGAATATGTGATTCGGACATTTGCAGTAGAAAAGGTAAGTTTTCAAACTCCAGCTTTCTAAATGTGATGGTACCTCTGCATGGGAGGTAAATATGTGCCCCTTTGTGTCAACTTGCAAAAGCACCCAGATTCTGTTGACTAAGGAACAGCCCATTATCCACAGCAAAGTACTTTTTGGGCAGTCCTCCAGTGCCCCCTTATGGTAGATCAAGTTTTCCTTTTTCTTGAATTTCAGATCCTTTTCTGTCCTCCCCTCAACCTCCCTTGGCCCAGTCTTGAATTGGAAAGAGACACTCCATTTCCATGAAGAACTGAAGCAAGAGAGGGTGCTGCCCCACCCATTAGTTAAAAGGAGCACTGATGTTGTTTTCTCATCTTCTGTCCACCACAATCATGCCTGTGCCCATGCATACCATTATTCCTCATTGTTATAAATACTGTGATCTGTCAGTATAATCTGTCTGAGCCTACACTAGAACTCTTTTATAGGGAAGTAATTTTTTTCATTAGACAACTTCATTTGAAGCAGGAAGGTCTTTTACAAGCAGTTTGTGATTGCCATATTATATTGCCATAAAATTATGCCATTTGTGTGGTTGATACTTAACAGGCAGGTATTTAGACCAAGTGGCTCTCCCAAGGATCTTCCCAGGCTGGAGAGACTCTGTGAACACTTCAGAGTATATACTGGAAGTAGAAAAAAGTATCATGGTTGAATGCTGAAATTTAACACGTATTTGTGATAGGTTTTTACTTGTCAGCTTTATTAGTACCTATATCAGTTGAAGAATAATGAAGAGTGAGATGCCTAGGAGTGCAGTGAAATAATTTTCATTCAACTTCACTATAAGTGGATTTTCAGTTCAATCAACTGAAAAATTCCCTTTGACAACTGGAACCAAAATGTATTCCTATTATTATTTCTTGCAACATCAATAATATTCAAAAAGCCCCAGTTAGGCTCCAGAGTGGTGAGAGACGTGCGGGTGAAAGCCCACCACGCCCCTGCTCTCCCGAAGCCTCCCAGAGACCCCCCAGCAGCTGCAGAGCCCCCCCGCCAACCCCCAGCACAGCTGGAGGCAAGCGGGGCCCATGGTGAGAGAGGGTTAACCCCTCACTGAGTGGGAGGAGGCGGCTGAGTGGAGCCGGGCCGGGTCAAGCCTGTCATTATAAGGTCTGTTTTCCTGACCTCTGATCATGCGTGTGGCTCTTCTCTGGACTCTCTCAAGCTTCTCCACATCCTTTTTGAATTGTGGAGCCCAAAACTGGACGCAGTACTCCAGCTGCGGCCTCACCAAGGCTGAGTACAAGGAGAGAATGACGTCCCGGGATTTGCTTGAGAAGCATCTATAGATGCAAGCCAGCGTTTTGGTTGCTTTACTAGCTGCAGCATCACATTGCAGGCTCATGTTCATCTTATGGTCAATGATGACCCCCAAGTTTCTTTCTTCCGTAGTGCTAGCCAGCATAGCACTGCCGAGCCTATAAAGATGCTGCATGTTTTTCTTCCCAGATCCATGCATGGGGACTCTTGCAGCTACCTGTATCCAGCTGCAGAAATGAGGACTAAAAAGTCAGCTCTGTATCCATAGCCATCTTATAATACTAACTAATAAGAAGTTTCTCTTGAGTGTATGTTAAATATGACATGACTTGGGCCCTGTTCAGCCAAGTTTCCTACTGGGCCATGGGTTCCTTTTTCTTTAACCAATATATTTAAAAGTGTGTGCATCAAGTTACTGAATCTTCTATTCCTATTTTATCTTAATGGAGCTTGTCTGTGTTCTTGCAATGCATGAAAAAGCATGCTCATGAAAATGAAGGAGTTCTCAAACTAATAGTAAAATATGAATGAGTACTGTGACCTGATTGCAGTAACAATATATATTATATATATTTTCTGCAATTCATTCCAGCCTGTTGTCTGCTACTATTTAGACACTTTTAGTAAACAGATGAGAAGAGTCGGTTAGACTTTGAAGAAGATGAGCTATTGGGTGATTTCTATTCTTTGACTTCTAAGCTCATGCTTTGATGTTAGCTTTTCACGTCTTAACCAGGACTGGAAAAAAAGGACACAGAGGATTGTACAGTTATTCATTACCAAACACTCATGAATAAGCACATTAAAACTCAGTGATAAAAGACTTTAAATATTTTATTTCTAAAAATTCCCTCCATCCAAAAAGACTTCATTTAGGCACTGCTTATATAACAGTACCTAGCTTTTCAATAAGCTGATAAAAGCAGCTTCTGTGCAGTGTTGGTAGAATACATTTGCTTTTTCTTCTTTTATTTCCTTCTAACTTTTCTTTAAAGAACTGAAAGGCCAACACTACATCTCTTCCCCCATAATGCTTCTGAATTTAAATTGGATAAAGTGTCTCTCACCCACTTCCTTCTATAGGTCTTTTTCTTATATGCTCCTAAAAGAAAACTTAGAAGTTTATTTGTTAGGGAGGGACTTGTTTGATGTATTTTTTTAAGAAAAAAAATGATGGTTTAGTGAATTTTAAGGTGTAAGGGTCAGAATTCTATTTCTGACTAGCTTAAAACTTTAAGAGATATAAGCCCTGATAATGGAAACACTTTGTGCATATAAATAGATCTCTAGAGACAACTAACCAGTAGGGCCACTCGTGTAATGTTAAGCAGCTGCATAAGTTTTTCTAGGATTAAGGCCTAATTCTTTAACAACATGCCACTTTTTCAGGGTTGTTTTCCCTCTTGGGTATGAAAAATGAGACACAAGAACTAGGAGAATCTGTGGAGAAATCCTGGCTCTAACAAAATCAGTGGCACAAGTTCCATTGTACTCAATGGATTCAGGATTTCACCTGTGATTTCTTCCCATAGATCTTTACCACTGATCCACTCTGCAGTTTTGGATGTCTCCCCTTAGGGCTTGTTTTTTGTTTTTTGAATATTTTTAAAATTGCTTAGACATGTTACTATAAAATCAGTCTATTTTATTCTGATTCCAGTTAAAAATCTACACATTGCCTTGCCTTTAAAAGATTGACAGTAGACTTTTTTTAAAGGAAAGCCCCAAATATGAAACTCACTTTCAAATGAAACTTTTTCATATTCTTCTTTATTCTGATCTTTTTATTCTTCTCTTTTACTTGGAATATGGACAGAGAGGTGCTCATGAGATCCGAGAAATCAGACAGTTTCACTTCACAGGCTGGCCAGACCATGGTGTACCATACCATGCCACAGGACTTTTGGGTTTTGTACGACAGGTCAAGTCCAAGAGCCCGCCTAATGCTGGCCCATTGGTTGTACACTGCAGGTAAGCAGAGTGGAAATGTCTTCTCTTGGGTTTCTACCCAAGACTCTCACCCTAGTTTTGTCACTCTTGCATTGTGTACTCCATAAGTAGCTGAAACCAGTGGAGGTACTAATGTAATAAGGTACTAACAAACAAAAATAAAAATTGCAAAACTTAACCTGCACCCCCTTGTTCATAACTCTCCTTGATTTCAATAGGCATCTATCACAAGGAGCCAGAAGGCTTTTGTTTCTTGAAAGAAAATTGCAGCAGGGTGAGCTGGTTCAAGGAAGGCTAGCCACTAAGGAACTAGGTCCCTGTGGGCTGAGCTGTAGCCAAAAGCCAGCAGTAACAGGTATAACGGACAGACAGGCAAGCTGCTTGGGGTCTAAGAACTGCAAACAGCAGCTAAGCAGCCACACGGGCAGGCAGGGCTGTAGGGTCAGAACAAACACACCTGTGATGGCTGCTGAGTCACCTAACCAGAAGGGGGCAGGGGCTCAGGGCCTGAGCCTACACAGTCAGTCTGTCCCGGGAGACTTCAAAGGCAAGATCTGCAGAGCAGGGGGAATGCAGAATGGTTCCTAGCTGGCACCAGTGCTGTCTTCAGGAAGGCAAGCATAATGCTGCTTCCCTATAGGAGAATATTATTTGGGGTGCAGGAAAACCTTGTTATACAGGTGGTAACCATTGTTTTATGTTTGGACCCAGAAAGTGTTTGGTTTGTGTTAGCCAGTGGGTTTACTCAGTGGTTACAGTTTCAACTGGTGGTTTGGACACAGCTGAAAAGGGAGTGGGAAAAGACTATGGCAGGGCACCAGAGGGGCACTTTGCAGCCTGTCCTGCAGCTGGGTGCCAGGGGCGCACTGGCATTTTGAGCCTTGTCTAGGGGCTTTGGTTCAGGACACCATAGGCTCAGGCCTGCGGGACAGGCTAAAGCCCAGAAGCAGTCTGAAAGGGGAGCTGAAGCCTGGTACAGGCAGAGGCCAGGCAGGACTGTGGTGGTGGTGGTCCAGTGCCCAAAGGGGCAGATCCAGGGCAAGTGGGCCCTGCACATTTGAAGGAGAGAGCCAGGGCCAGCGGGTCCAATGCCAAGAAAGGTGTAACCAGGACCAGGGGACCCTGTGCACAGAAGGGAAGGGCCCCATGGGCTAGGGACCTGGCAGCTTAGAGAAATGCAGAGAAGGGGCCAGAAGGGTGGAGACAGAGCTGGTGTCCAGAAGCTGTATCCAACACAGTGGATCTAAGCTAAGTGACCTAGCAAGAGGGAAGGGACAGAGGCCAAGTGAGCCAAGATCCCAACAAGGGAAACAGATGACATCTGGGCACCTTGAGCATAGCAAAAAGGGGAGATGAGGAGGTCATGAAATTGTCCTTAAGGTGGTGAGCAATTAGACCATGGCCCATGAGCAAGCAAGATCTTGCTCAGGGATTCCTGGGACAGCCTCCCTTTTATAAATATATATTTATACTAAGGCATGGCACGCAAGGCGAAGGAGAGGATGCTCAAAGAATAGGGCAAGAAAGGGGCTGAGTGGCTACCAGGGGGCATCACAGTCACTCCTGGGCCTGGCCCTTTGTTACATCACCCGCTCAGGGAATACCTCCAGGATTGAGCTCAGTACTTGACATTTTCTAAGAACTCATTAACTACTGTCTCTGTTCTTAATTTTAGCGCTGGTGCTGGGAGAACTGGATGTTTTATTGTCATTGACATCATGTTAGATATGGCAGAGAGAGAAGGTGTTGTAGACATATACAACTGTGTCAGGGAGCTTCGATCTAGAAGAGTTAACATGGTGCAAACTGAGGTATTGTCATCCTTAATTGATAGTATCATGTAATTTACAGTGGAAGTATTATTATAGCCCACAGACCAAAATTCAATTGTCCTAGACACTGTTCAAACACAAAACAAAATAAGGTCAGCCCTTTATATCATATGCAACCTGCCAGAACACAGGGAAAATAATGTGATGTGGTAAAGTGAACAAAAAAGCCAAACCTTGCCTGTAAACATACATAGAGGTGTTGCATAAATGTTGCTGATTTGGCGGATGATAATTGTTGTTAAAAGCTATATTACTTATTCAGAACCAAACAGTACTCTGGGACATGTCACTTCTGAGTTTCATTTGCATGAAAGTACACATGCATTTCTGCAAAAAAGAAAAATGCAAATTAACACAGTTATAAAAGCTGTATTTTTATTGTATACAGGTTACTAGCTGTTTTGTTTATTGTTATCATTGACCCACCTTTCCACACTTTTTTCTTTATAAAGCAGTATGTTTCTTAAGCTACTTTTGCTACCTTGAAGGCTTATCAAGCATTCACCAAAGTCAGGGTAAACTGGTCACACTTGGCATGTCTACATGAGACACTTTGCTGTGGAGCTGACTAATTAGCACTGCAGTAAAGTGTCACTGTGTATACATGCTGTGCCATTAGGCCACAGTAAACTAATTAATTCTGATGTAGGATAGTACTGCCTGACAAGTACTGTCCTATAGCAGAGTAGTTACATACGATGAAATGCATGTGTAGATGGTGATGGGGCTGAGTCACAAGAGTGCTACAGTGCAGGGGCTTCCTGGTGCCTAGTCCCACTCTTTAACACCCTCGTGCCCCAGCCAGCCCCTCTGCAGCACATTGAGCTGGGTCAAAGCATTCCTTGGCTGGCAGGCTGACCCTTCTGACCCCCTGCTAGCTGGGGCTGATTTGCCTTGGCTCAACATGCTGCAGTCCCAGGCACACATGAAGATGCTGTGGTCAGGAGTTCACAACAGAGTTTATCACTACATGCTAATTGCATATCTAGATGCACCCACTGACTTTCAGTGGGTATTGAATCAGACCCTTTTAGATGGTTCTTATTTACTTGGGGATTAATAGTGTGGTTTGTCTAAGCCAGTGTTTGTTTTAATTACTTGACCAGGAGCAGTATGTATTCATCCATGATGCAATACTGGAAGCCTGCCTTTGTGGAGATACATCTATCCCAGCTTCTCAAGTTAGGTCCGTGTACTATGAAATGAATAAACTTGATCCTCAGACTAACTCAAGCCAGATCAAAGAAGAATTTAGGGTAAGTTGTGGGTAGTATAACATGGATTCGTACAGTATGATGCCTGGCCTGATGCCTGTTGAAGGTTTTGGATCAGGTCTGTGAGGAAAAGTACAACAGAACAAAGCAATGCAGTGTCAAATTTCCATTGAAATATGTGGAATAATAAATACAGACAATAAAAATGATTGTTATATTCTCTCATTCTTCACCAACAGAAGAAGAAATACTGTGTGGTTTCCCTTTGTTCTTTCTCCAGGGGCTCATTCCTGAGATTCTTTCTTCTAATGTGGTCATGTTCTGTAGTCCAGGATGTTTGCTCCCAGACCCAACTTGTTTTTGTTTGTTTTTCTTTTAATCTCTGCATATGTAGACTCCCTTCTGAGACAGTGTCCTGAGTTGATCGAGAAATCTCTATTAACTAGCTGACAGTGCATTTACTACTAAGTTGATTTTGCTGATACATTGTTTACTTTTTTTTATAGACTCTAAACATGGTGACTCCAACGCTCCGTGTGGAAGACTGCAGTATAGCACTTTTACCTCGGAACCACGAGAAGAACCGCTGTATGGATGTGTTGCCTCCAGACAGATGTCTGCCTTTCCTCATCACAATAGATGGGGAAAGCAGTAACTACATTAATGCTGCACTGATGGATGTAAGCCCCCCATTAAATCATTAATAATAAAGAAGGAATAAACCGTTCTCCAAATTGAGAAATACCAGAAAGTATAGTCAGCACAAGAGGATGCAAATCTTTCTCATTCACTTTCCTAAAAATGACACAAAATCTTTAAACTCTTGAGTACTTTTAGGATCTCCCATATGTTATGTCACAGCCAAGGTTTCAAAACCACACAGAAAGAGCTAGTCAGGGAGGACTGATAAATGAAACATGCCTAGATTTCTCTCTAGTGCTTGAATTTTTAACCATCTGGCCTAAGAGAAAAAGAGTTACCTATTAAGTCACCAAGGCAGCTAAACAGGATAATAAGGTTTGCAGCAATATTTTAGTTCCCTTTCCTTCTGATTTACACAGTAATTAACAGAAAAAAATAATTGTCTGTCATCACTGATAGTACACAAGCCATTACTTCAGTCTTTCTGTTTATTTCTGTCTGAATGAGCATTTCCTGTTCAGTTCACAGGGAAATGATTTTTTTAAATGCAGCTTTTATAATTTTAATGGTGATAATAGGATATCTTTAAAAGACACTTAATGTGTTTTATACACTTCAGGTATTTATAGTGTATCGCTAACATTTTGAGCTGGAGTAATTAAAGTTGTCACACAAACATACACAACAAGAAAACAGAGATTAGGAAAGAAGGTATTCATTTTAAATAGCCTTCTAGAAAGTAAATTTTGAAGAATAATAATAGGAGTAATAGTAGTTTACACTTATGCAGTTGTTTTCATCCAAGACCTCAAAACACTTCATTAACAATAGTTAGATCTCAAAACATTCCTGTGAAAACTAGATAAGTGTTGTTGTTTTTATATACATATGGTTAAGAAAACAGGAAATGAGAGCTTAATTAGTTTGTTCCAGGGTCACACAATACATCAGTGGTAGAAGTCTTATTAGAATACATCATCTCTAATTTAGACTCATCTCACATCTCCTAGAGCAGGGGCAGGCAATTATTTTGGGCGAAGGGCTGCTTACTGAGTTTTGGTGAGCTGCCGAGGGCTGCATGGGTAGCCCCACCCATTGACAGGTGCCCCACCCCCGATCACCACCTTGAGACTGGAAGTCCCGCCCTCTAAGCCCTGACCTTTGCCATCAGAAGTTCCTCCCTTGCCCCTAGAAGTGCTCCTTTCAGCCAGGAGCTTTGCCATCTTGGAACCAGAAAAATACCAAATTATATTCTACAAATCGAACATCTACAACATTCATTAATTTGATTTCAGAAAATAATATTTTTGTCCTAATTTACATGTGTTTGTGTACTGTACATAGAAGTGATTGCACAATAGATTAAAATGAAGTCTTAGTCTTGTATATTGTGGAGAGGTGGGGGGAGTGGGTATAGGTTTATGGGGGGCTGTGGGGTGTAAGGGAGGGTGTGGATGTATGTGGGGGGTGGATAGGTGCGGGGGGTATTGGGTGAGGGAATCATGGGTGCATGTGTGGATATGTGGGGTATGGGTGGATATGGGGCTTGTGGGGGGGAGGGTGGCTGGTGTGTGTGAGAGGGTGTGGGGTTCTG